ATGCTTAAGGATGAGTTTTCCTAATAGCCAGTTTAATCTGATAATTTTGAGGTCTAATTATTTTCTTTTATTCTTTATATGTTTTCCGTGTAAGTCTTCTGTCCAGTGTAATTCCAGCTGATTACGTAAGGGGCAGTTATGTTTAAATCCAAGAATAGAATTGAGTCACACATCGTGTTATATTCATTAGAATGGCTTCTGCTTAAAAGTAACAGCCTTAAATGTTCTACCTTGCTTCTGTTACATGTGACTAGGAAATGAACAAATTCCCAAGTATTCAGTACGGTAACAGATTTTAGGCAATAAATTGGACGATACCTTTCCCCTCCCCGTAACTCAGTAATATTTTAGTCTTCATTCTTCCATTTTCCAAGTCTACTCCAAATGTGTAACATGATGCGCCATAGTTAGTTTCACATTGGATCTTTCTTTTTTGATCGTTCTTTCAATGGAATATTTGCCTTTAAAAAGGAAACTAACCTCAATATTGCATCTAATGCAGAATATAATGCTTCTAAGGTGCTGCAGAATAGAATGCTTAATTTTTTCGTGTAGACAGTTTTTGCTTGTCGTAGGACTAGTCTACTCATACTTTTCGTTGTTTTCATGCCACTAGTGTCATAAGGAGAAGAAAATGACAACGTGGGAGGTTGTTAGCAGCTGGGCTGGAACATCGCGGACGGTGTCCTTTGAAGTACGTGGAAGTTACGACCTTGGGTTCGACTCTGCTGAGATCTTGTCGTTTCCTTCTTCCAAAGCAGAAGCCGCAAATTAATGGCACCGTGGACCAACTACAAGTCCAATGAATTCAAGAAAATCGCTTCACAGATTTCGTTCATTATTCAATAATTTACAAAACGAAAACAACACCAAAAGAGCTTTTGTGCGACATTACTCCACTGCAGTAGGTATAGTTTAAGCGAATATTCTTTGGAAGTATGGCGAAATTATTAAATTACTTATTGAATGAGACACACATGTATTTGCGACCACACTTCTTAATCTATAAACTGTTTGTACATGTCTTATAAATATACATTTATTCATAATTACATATTTGTTGTGAGGCATGTTTAGAATCAATTTATAATCCATTATTTCTACAACAATCTTTTTGCCGCAAACGAATGAATTGTTAGGAGCTAGATTTTATGGTATTTTCTTCAATTTATTTTAAGTATAGATCATCCATTTTCTGTAGGATTCTTGTATGTGCTATTTGCAGCCCATTGGAGACTAATCAACGTCTTGATGGTTTCCTATACTCTTCTCTAACTTGACTTGGAGCTTAGTCATGCATGGAAATGCATGGATTTCTTCCGTACTACTCATTTATTTGAGGAATCTATTGATTCTTCGGCACCACTAGGTATGGGTCACTTTTCATTATAACATTAACTATGTATAAATTTGAAGTACCATTAACAGACTTTACGCTTCAAACCATTTATTTTGTCAGGTGCTTCCCAGGACACACAATCCGTTAAGAGATGGGGGGAAATATTTAATCTAACGACTTAACCACCTGAACCCATTATTTCGAGTGTGACTTACTGTATCCTCTTAACAGAGCTCAATCCGCAAATGATAATATAATATCAACAGAAGCAACCATAAAATATTTTATTATTCAAGCTATAGCTTCATCAATACTTCTAACTTTCGTTATACTAGATAATATTTTATTTATTTTAAATGAAAATATTATTAATTCAATTGTTTCCATCACTTTATTCTTGAAAATAGGTGCAGCACTTTTTGAAATATACTGTAACCCGTAGCATGTGTAAAGACTATTGTATTACGCTATCACCATGACAGGTGGTATTATTGTTCATTGTGAGAAAGAAGCTTCATCTTACGTTTCACACTACACTGAAGGATATCAGTAACTTGCAACGTACAGCGATCGTCTGACTGGTTCTGTTAAAGGCTATTGGCTGCATTTCGCAACTGTCCCATAATTCAGAATTGCCAATGTTGAATAATGCATTTTGTTTCCCTGTGCAAAAAATGGCCTCCCGGGCTGCTGTTTCCGCGTGCGAACTCTCCCCGCTCCCGTGTGGGCGCCAAGGCCGCCGCTGCTGCCGCCAAGGACGCGCCGCTCGGTTCCCCACATCCTCTCCCTCCCGCACCTCCCGCCCCTGTGCCTATCCATCCCTTCCTGGCTACTGTGCCTACGCACAGTGAGGCGAAACCCTCGGTCACTTCATGGCCGGCGCGAAGGGCGCTCACAGTCAGAGAATGTTTTAAGCGGTATTTGTTTTTTTTTTATCACAGATGTTATGAACATAAGAATTACTTGAACGGTTTTTGTCTTTAGATGGATATTTAGCGGCTTTAATGAAGAATCAAGGTTAAGATTATGAATTGTACGGAGCGTCTTGGATCATTCTGGACTAATTAATAAAAGGTCGCGAAATAATATTTGCTCACTTAATTGCATCATTAAGACTCGTTAGCGGTCTCCTCTCAAGAAGCAGATAACGCGGATCATCTTATTTAAAAGTATATAAAATCCGCAATTAAATACATATCTCAAGCATTATGAATTTATCCTTTTTTGCTGTTGAAGGCTCTCGTAAAACGAGATCATTTTCATTTTACCCTGGAAGTGCAACCTTATTTTTAGAATATGCTTTCAGACGAGACGGATGAAATATGAGCTGTTTTGGGACAAAATATCTTGTTTCCGTCCGGAATACTGCCCTAAAGTAAAGGGTTACATTTGTCATTGTTTCTATTATTGCGCTGGAAAAATCAGTTTACCTAGATTTTAATTTTGTCGCAACAAAATACGGTAAATAGTGGAAGTCCTACGTACCTAGTACATCTAACTTCCAAAAGTTCCGGTGAGACTCGAAAACGTCAGGGTTAGTTGCATTTCCTGCAACAATGTGTGCATTTGTACGACGTAATCGTATGCGAGTCTTGCAGCTACCGGATGTTTGACGAGCAGTCATTTCATTTAACATTCGAACAAAGCGACGGTTCATAGCTGTTCCTATCGCACTGATTAATTTTATTTAAAAAAAAATACCCGAGCTGAAAAGCCATTAAATGCAATCGTAGTCTTCCGCGGTCAGTGACAAGTGAAGGCTCTCGGCTGTCGGGTTGATGCCGCATGGAGGGCACTCATACCGGCATTTTGACCCTCCTGTTGTAGTCTTCAGTCCCGAAGAACACGATAGGATGGTCGAAATGCCGGTATGAGTGCCCTCCGCGCGGCGTCTCCCGCACAGCCGGGAGCCTTCAGGACCTTAGTCGCGAAACACAAACGGTACGTTCTTGCAGTTCTTGCACGTCTTTGTCGCCCTGTGCACAAATTCCAGAGTGTGTTGACGCAATGATTAAAAAAACTGTTAAGCCTAATCGCAATTAACTTAAAATTCCTTTCCTGCTTTAATTCAACCTTCTTAATTTCCAGCGTGGAAACACTGAAACATCTCGTGTAAAATATATGGAAAAATACATTGCAGCTGAAAATAATTACATAATAACATATCAAATTATCACTAGAATTTTAGTGGAAGGAAAATATTTAATTTTTGAAATATATAATTTGACTCGTAGCTCTCGTGTAAACCATCTAGCCCTTAAAGTATGAAGTAGATGTGAGCGGCGAAACGAGTATAATCTCGTCTTCGCCACTTCAGTGCACCAATTGATCTAAACGAGTAATAAAATTGATGGTGTATAGAGTCTCTCCAGCTCTAGCCATGTCTCTCGCGCTCGGAGTGGTCCGGTTCGACCTCGGTAGCATTCATTAGCAATTACAGAATGTCTTCTTGTGAGGTGAAGAATGGTGGAATGAGCGGGGAAGGGTGTGGCTGAACTAGGAATTCAGTGATCCACGCGACAGGGAGTCTAAAGGGCGTTGAACAGGTGCCCGCGAATAGGTTAAGAAACCGAAAAGGCAAAACAGAAAACTTCAAGTAACGACGCCTAAAAAAAATTGCTTCTCAGGGCGCTTTTTGAGTGTATCATCAGGTTGCGTTTTTCAGACGTTTATTGTTCTTTCACGGTGTCATCTCCTTTTTCTTTCATTTCTTGCATCTTACGTGTTTCTAGCCCGTTTATCATAGAATCTTCGTATAACGTCGTAACGAAGTTCCCAGTTGGAAGCGAACGGGTGCCGTCTTGAGGCCGGCGTGGCGCGCGGTCGCAGGAGGTGAGCCTGTGCGGGTGCGCGTGCGGCGCGGCGCGCTGGCTGGCCGTGTGCGCCGACCGCCCCGCCCTGCGCCCGGAGCTCGACGGCCAGCCCGTGGGGCCGGCGGGCTGCTGCGCGCTCATCCTCTACCACCACGCGACGGGCCGGCCGCTTGGCGTGGGGTAGGGACGCGAGGCAGATATCCGTCTTTCCAAAACATGTTTTGACGTGGCTGATATTTGATTTATCTTTGGTCAAAAAAAGTATATTACAATCTATTTTTTAAAATTTTCAGATATCCATAAATTGACCATTCTGGTGAAGAAAATGACCAAGAGAAAAAATAAATTATTATCCAATCAGAGAGTAAAAGCTTCGTTAATTGTTTTGAACATTTAAAAGAAAAGCTTTGCCAGCTAAGTCTCAAATATAAATTAATAAACTCGTCCATCGTGAAATGAAATGGCTTCCAACCTCCCGTATATTCGAGTGTACTAAAATACTTTTAAAAACATGACTGGTTGTTTTAAAACGTGAACGTGTGTGATAGCGTGGGGTCGGGCGGCGGGTGGCGCGCCACGCACTTTGGCGCCGCGTGCGACGCCGTGGCGGGCCTGTGCCC